TAACTAGAGAGAAAACAGATTGAAGAAATATAAAAAGAATCTTAGAAATATTAGGACAATCAAAAATTCTATAAATAAGTATATAAAGTCCCAGAAGAAAAAGAACTGATCAAAGTACCTTTCTAACAAATGATGAAAAGGCAACCAACACCTGGAAGACATTTGTATAGTAAATTGTCAATGGAAACATTCAAACTTAAAACTGAGTAATAGTAATAATGATTATACAATTTTGAGACAAAGTCTCACTTTATAGCCCAGGCAGGCCTCAAACTCACTGTCTAGGCAACCTAGGCTAGACTCTAACTTATAACCCTCTCCCATCAAATTCTGGATGCTAAGATTAGAGATAAGTACCACCTCCACCTAGCTGATGATTTATTTTTCAATGCTAACAAGGCTTGAACAGACTTTTCATGAAAGAAGGCATAAGGGATAGCTAGGAAAGTAGTTTATTCTGTAGATGCTTGTCTAGTGTGCATGACGTCTTGGGTTCAAGCCCAAGGCATGGTGGTACAAGTCTATAATGCCAGTACTGAGGACATAAAGGATGACTAGAGGTTCAAGGGCATCCTTGGCTACATAATAAGCTTGAAGACAGCCAGGGGTACATGAGACTCTGTCTTTGTTTTTTAAGATATGCTATTGATCAATAAACACAAATGATATCAACTATCTTAGCCATTGGGGGTGAAAAATAAAACAACACAGTGATTCTGTTAATCCTGTTAGATGGGCTAAGACTGAGAAAACTGGCAATACTAACTTTTTGGGAAGGAATGAAGTGAGATGTTACTAGGAAGAGAAAAGTGGTGAAGGGGTTGGTAGAACAGCTCAGCGGTTTCTGATAAGATTAAACGTCCATGGATGTAAACTCTACACCTGCGTATTACCAAAATGAAGGAGAAGTTGCACCCACACAAAGGCTATCTGTAATAGCAACTTTATTCATGAAAGCCAAAACTGAGAGGAAAAAAGGAACCCAAATGGCCATCAATAAAGGAATGACTAACAGACTGCTATTTACACACTAGTCAACAATAAAAATATACTACCAATAACTGCATCAATGCCAATGACTCTCCAAAACAACAGGGTGAGTAAGAGATGCTGAACAGAGAGAGTATATACACTGTGTGATGCCATGTCCATGAAGGACTAGAAGATGCAAAGCCAACTTGTAGTGACAAATTAATAATCACCTTAAACAGTGTGTGGAGGGGCTGACTACAAATGAAGGGGGGAGGTAACTTTCTGGGCAGGTGGGAATGCTTTCTATCATGACGTGAGTAGTGATTATATGAGTATACACATTATTCAACCTTACACTTAAGATATATCCATTTTACTGGATATGAATTATACCCATGAAAGGTGATTTTGTTTAATTTAAGTCTATTTTATGATGAAACATATACACACATATGTCTAGGCAAAAACAATATATACACATATTCATTTCTGAATAGTAAAGTAATTATAGACAGCAAGGTCATGAATTTGAGAGGGGGACATGGCAGGAGTTGGAGAATAGATCAAGGGATGAAATAATGTAACTATTTCACTTATATACTTATTATATACTATTAAATACTTGTGTATGAAATTAATTACCCCCAAAATTTTTAATTCAAAAATGTTGATTTTTTAAAGGACATTAATCTCTTTCAATTGGGAGCCTTATCTTCATCATCAGTCTATGAGGACTCATTCAGAAAAACAAAATGGATCTTCATGAATTACACCCAGGCACCCCACATGAATGTCTAGCCATATGCATTACTTATTCATAACTGGAGTAAGAGATGCCCATCATTTCTGATGTAACTGCAGTTCTCCCCTTTCTAAGAACTCCGAGTTATGTTTTTTTTTTTTTTTGAAGACTAGTTCCTGAAGTGAGTATCTGTATTCATTCTATGAGCAAGTCACACCATCTGCCACCTCAGCTATGGGAGCACTTAGGTCCCCTCTCTACCTGCCCCATCCTGATAACACAAGTAAATGGTCAGTCGGACCAGTGAGCTGATGATACTGATGGTCACTATGCTGTCCTATCACCTTCGCCTGCTCAAGGAGGTTCTTACACTCTGTTTTCAAAACACTGGCAATAACTAGACTCCCTTTCCTCTGAGCTATTCCTAGCTGCCATTGGAAACTGATGGACAGCAGTATCATAACAAATCTGCAAAGCTGTGCAATGAGCCCACTTACTGAGAAATCTTCCTTGCTGTTTTGGGGTCGTAGATACCCAGAATATACAAACTCACACTACAAACTCAAATGCTGTGCTGCCTGTTTGTTGTGATTGTTTTTCTGTTTCTGAGTACCATTCTTACAAACTTAACAGCTTAAAATGTCTATTGTATGTAACCTGAAGTTCAGCAGATCTGAAGTCTAAATGAGCTTGGTGGCAAGACTTTGTTAAAAAATAAAAACTCAGTTGGGAAAGTCTGCTCTCCATAAACAGGGTCCTAAGTTATGAATGAGCACCATGGACACTGGTAAAGGCATCCCTGAGAGTCACACTAATGCAAGCACTCAAGATAAAATACTCTTTGAAGTATACAATGGGTCAGAGGGGAAGCACACTGGAATGTCACAGGTTCAATTAAAAACCAGTTGCTGAACATCTACTGTGTGTCTGATACTGTACAAGGCACAAGGCCTCTCTCAATGACTAAGCCAGGGCACTAGCATGAAAACCCAGATGCCAGCAGCACAGTTCTAATGAAGCTCCAACCCTGTTCAGTGTCCTAAGAACTTTGCCAGAGCCTGAAGTTAATGTCTCCCTGAGGTCACTTTCAATATACAGTAACTTATAATATTATAATACCCTATTCACTAATAGGGTATAGTATTAGTGAATGTGGAAAATGGAAACCATTGATGTTACGTTTAAGAAGTTGATATTTTCTCAAATCTAGAAGAATTTGAGAAAGTTCACTTCTGGCATTACTACTAATCTGACGAACAACAAAGCTGGAAAAGTTGGTGTCTGACTTAAGGAGATTCTGCAGTCTGCTCAAAATACCATTGTTTGCAAAGAGGGACATACTGATGCACAAAATAAATTTTAATAGTCCAACTACACTCCTATCCTTACTGATCATTGATGCAAAATTTCATAGCTAAAGACACTAGACATTGATTCATTAATAATGAATCCATGTTCACAGTACTACTTCCCCCCATAACCAGTGGTTATGACCACCACTGGCATATACCAAACCACACTGAGATCACCTACTGTTTCCACAAAATACTGTGCCTGGGTTTTGCACTGTTTTCTATTTCTTCACTTTCCTCCTCCTTTTCTGAGCAATGAGACCAACTCTCATATCTAGTGCAAATATCCTGCCTTGATCCTACCAAATGAAAGCTCTCTTTGGAATCTCTCATACTTTCCCCTTTTGACTTGTTCTTAAGGGTATTTCAACTAGTTTACCCAATAAAGTGCATGCCATGCCTCTTTTCTGTTTGTTTTGGTTTGTTTGAGACAGGATCTCACTATGTAGCTCTGGCTATCCTGGAACTCAGTTTGTAGACCAGACTGACCTCAAACTCACAGAGATCCAAATGCCTCTGCTTCCTAATGCTGGGATTAAAAGCATGTGTCACTGTGCCCAGTTACTTATCATACCACTTACATCTTTGCCTCATATTATCCCCCATACACGTGCACACACAACACACATGCACACCGTTGTTAGACACTATTGAATTGATTGTTGAAAGAATTGGGAGCTGAGAACACTTAGGCTCATCTAGGGAACTGTGTAGGTATGTTCAGTGGGTGCATTGTTTCTACTGTTCTGGTCATCCATCCATGTGCATTTGAAATAGATGATAAAGAATTTATCTAGAAGAAAAATTGGAGAGGGGGGATGGAGAGAGAGAGAGACAGAGAGAGAGAGACAGAGAGAGAGAGAGAGAGAGAGAGAGAGAGAGAGAGAGAGAGAGAGATTCTCCTGAGAACCAGTCTTCTGAGGCTACGAAATACTTGATACTGTATACACATTGTGTATATATCCTGTCTTGAGAATTTGCTTTCTGGGAAGGGACTAAGCAATATCACCTAATAGTTCCCCCTGAAGATCCAACAAATTTTTTAGGCATACACTTAAAGAGTTAAAGGGTTACTGACAAAAGCATTGATGAACCCAAATTAGTCACACCAAAAAAAAACTGTATCCCCAGCATGGATTGCCCATGCTGCACAGATGGGATCCCTTTCCCCTAGTCTTCCCTGACCTAATACACTAGCCCCTTCCCAAGACCCTGAGGCCACATGCAATTAGAGTAGAAATAGAACTGTTTGGAGTGGTCCAATATTCAAGTGAGTGTCCATTGACACTCCTATTACCTCCTTCTGTGAGGGAAAGTCAACAGTCAATAAGATCACCTGTGAAGATCTTTATCACAAACAGGCATAGCTGAACCATGAAGATGGTGACAGGTTGGATTGGAGGGCAGTTTTGTGCAACATACATTTACAGACATTTCCACGAAAAGAACTCATGGCTTTCATCGGGTGCTCAAGACTAGGATACATGGGCAGCAGCTGTAACGTTGGGAAAGGGAAGTGCTTCCACCTGACACTGTTCTGAGACGGCCATCCCTCTCAGGTTGACCCACACTGTTCTCTGAGCTCTCAGCCTTTTTAGCATATAAACTGCTGAGTAGTCAACAGCATCTATTATTAAACTCCATATTTTCAGAACTTAAACTTTTACTCATGAGCATAGCAAGCCATTCTTGAAGTTAAAAGGCATTAACTTCAGGAAACACGGTCTTTAAAAAACCAAAAACAAACAAAAATGTAATTCAAAGATATGTAGTGTTTGCCATTAATAATACTTTCTCTGGGCTGGAAATATAGCTCAGTGGTTGCAAAGCTTGCCTAGCATGCACAAGGCCCTAGAGTCAATCTTTAGCAGTGGGAAAAAAAAAACAGTACTTTTCAACCAACACACACAAATAAAGACACTAAGAAAACAACATGCAGATTATAAAACAACATGAGTTTATTAATATTCATTTAAAACTATGCATGAGTTTTGTCAGTGAGTGGACTGAGTTCATACATTAGAGATGCCAAGTGACTGAATCAAATTTTTACCCATAAGGTATCCTGAATCAAACAATATAAACAATCCAATTCAAAGGTCATCTTTTAAAAAAGAACATGAGTCCTTAGCTACAAAGATAGTCAATTAAAAGACATCATTTTAATGGGTCATATTTATCAAAAAGAAACAGTGTATAATCAAAGCTAAATATATTCTTCCCAGGTATATCAAATGTAAGCAAAATAATGTTAAAGAATTAACATTACTAAAAAGTAAAACATTTTTATGAATAGTATAAACATCACAACACGGTATTACTATTTGACAATAGAAAACAAGCTCTGCTTCAGTGTTGAATTTTCATAATTTCTATTAAGGACAAACAAAAACTTCAGCAAGAGGTGATTCACAAAAATCGTCTCTTCAAGAACATACAATAACCTACAAGTATATCTCTTTCCAATGTATGAAACCGCCCATTTGCAAACCAAACAGCAATTTTGGGACACACTCTCATGAGCTTCATCTGTGAAAACTATAAAAGTTGCTGTTGAGTGTGCGTAATTTTAAAGGCAGTAACGACCCACTAGCTCTTTTCTGTTTTATTGATTTGCATGCTTCAAATGTCCTCGTTAACAATCACAAACGTACAACATTTTAAAGGTAAAAATAACAATTATATACAGCTTCAAAGACCACATACTAGCCAGCGGCCTCTCTCCTCTAGTGCAAGAGAGTATTAACCACCAGATCCTGCATCAGACCAAAGAAGCATCAACAGTACATCCAAATTTTTTGTCCCCTTTCAAATGCTTTCATGTTTCTTTTCAAGTTCCCAGTCCACCTAATTTGAAACTGGCAATAGCCATGTGAGCAATGCTTTATGCCACAATCAAGTCTTTTCCCATGAGTCTTTTCCTACCCCAAGCCTACTGTTTATTGAAGGCAATTTTACCATTCAGATCAAATTCAGATGTATAGATCCCAGATACCTGGGTATGAAATATGCAAATCTGCCAAGAAAATTAAATATTTTTCTTCTTTTCTTTTAATATAATCCACTATATAATAGTGAACTAAATGTGCTTGTTTCATAGAAACAACTTACATTTGCCAATACAGGGCAAATGGTCTATGTACAGATACATCAGGACTGCCTAACTGACAGTGAGTGTTGCTGGCCAGGCTCCAAGCCAAGGGAGCTAGTACGGTGGTGCTCGCTGCTGAATGGACTTCCCCTTCAGGATACGTCGGATCTGGAAGAGAAATGAATTGGGAAGTTTACTTCTAATGATCAAAGTGTGCTACTTTCTCCAGAGTTTCACTCCTCTCATAAACCCTCTACAATGCCCCTAGCTTGTAAGCATAGGACCACAGATTTCACTCCTCTCATAAACCCTCTACAATGCCCCTAGCTTGTAAGCATAGCTGAGTCAACTCACCAACCCCAAGGGTTTTAGAATGACAACTTTTACAGCTTATTTCAAGTTTCTTGTAATGACTGTTGCGTGCGAGACAGTAGAGCATTTCCACTAAAATTGAAAGTCAGCAACTGAAACAGGTCTGCCTTCTTCTGCTAATCCTTACCACTAGTGTCTGTGAGAAGATCTACTACATGGCAGTAATTGTGGCATATTAAGACTATCACACTTATTGTGAAGCCAGCCTCTGGTAACAAGAATGCAAAGTCCCCGTCACACACACTCAAGTACATCTCAATGACTTCCAAGTCAAAACAGTGGCCAGATTATCCAAATGTTAAAGCAACTGTGTGTAACTCCATGGGTCCCATACTCGTCTCCAGTGATTTTGTATTCCAGTAGGACAAATTATGGTGTCTACCTCTCAGCCCACAAGAGATTAGAAGAGAGGACTGTGGTGGCTGCTTATAGCTGCCAAAAGAAAACCTGTCCAGCGGCCACAAAATAAAATAAAGGGGAAGCCCTCTCCATGACAGCACACCCCATACAGAAGGAACAATGACAACACTCCAAGAACATTAAGTGAAGTGCCTCATAGCCCAGCAATGCCTCAGAGCACTGCTATGTGAGAGTACACCACATGAAAGCAGCAAGTACTGGGCTTGAGCTTACTAACTAATTATGGTGCCTGTCCTAAGTACGATTTTTTTTTCTGCTAAGCCTTACTGAAAGCCTTTTATATTTTTTAATGAAAACTGCTACAAACTATCAAGTGTCTACATTCCAAAGAGATTCCCCAGACAAGTTACTAGAACATTTTGGTTCTGATGACAGCTAGAGATTCAAAGGAAAAGCTAACCTGCATAAATTAATTTATAATTAATAATGCATGTAATCATCTAGCCGCAGCTTCCGACCACCCAGATTCCCTCTGGGAAAATATGTCCATCAAAGATAATTTCTCAAAAGATTAAGTTCTTATGGAGAAAAGTTTACTCGTGTGAGACTATTCACTCCCGAATGATAAAATATAACCATATGTAATAAGCACAGCATAATTTTAACATGTTCTAGGCTCTTTTCCATTTCTTATGGAGGACCAGTTGGTGGGATTATAAAAACTGATATTCACTAAGCATTTATTATATGTGCCTATATTACTTCAAACATCCGACACTAGAACAGCCTGCTTGCAGAGCATCAGCTAGCGTTTGCCCTGCACAGCCTCCTCCTTCTATATATTTCAGACCGAAGGGCCCAAGGGAATGTCCACGCCCACTGTGGCCCTCCCTCACCTGTTCTCCCACAGGGCCATCAGGAACCAAATGTACTGGCTGCTCATTCTCCAAGTTCCGAGTGCTCGGGTCTGCTCCCTTCCTCATCAACAGTCGGACTGCATCCAACTGTGTCACCCGATATTGGAGGCTGGCAGCAACATGGAGGGCAGTGTTTCCATTGTAAGCCTGAAAACAAACAGAACGGCACACATCAGGAAGGGGGAAAACTCAAAAACTGGAAGGTGGGAAGGCCATTCCAATGCTTTCTAAAAACTACCTTTGCGTTCACAAAAGACAGGCAACTGGGCAACTCCAAAAAGAGGCGGATGAGTTCCAGATTGGCTTCTTCTGCTGCCAAATGCAGGGCTGTGCGGCCACTTTTACGATCCTTGTAAAGGCAAGAAGGGGAAGAGTGAAGCTCCAGACACCATGCTTTAGACAGTATGCTTTTCATCCTCTCAGACGTCCAAAGCAGTTCTGAGACTACTTGAAGAGGTTTCCCCTTCGCCAGTCTCCCTGAACCCTAAGTTATTCCTCTTCTATTCCCAATTAATTTTACCTACTCCATTCTGATCACATTCTACTCATACATAGACCAGCCATTAAAATGTAGAAATATAAAATGCCACTTTTTTATGTGTCACATCAAAGGCTACTTATTATGTATTACTGTGTTTCCAGTCTTGTTGGTTGCCTTGTAGACCTAGCAACAGCAGGGGGGGGGGGGCACACAGCAAGCCCCACAGAGACCCACGTGGGCATCTGTATTCCCAATGTACTTAACACAGTGATTTAGGACACAGACAATAATCAGTAAACAATCCCTGGATTTAAAAAGAGTATTTTCCAGTTTAAAACACTTATTTCCAGTTTAACACAGGGCCAGTGAGATGGCTCAGGGAGTAAGGTGCCTGCTGCCAATCCTGATGAGCCAGGCCAAGTCCTGGGACTCACAGTGGAAAGAGACAACCAACTCCCGTGGGCTGTCCTCTGACTGCCACATGGACCCAAACACATGCACAGACAAAAATCGAACAAAAATATTTAAAAAATCAAAATTTTAAAAGAAGCAAAACAAAAAAAAGAAAGATTATAATTGACATGAATGTTTCTGTTGTATTTTTAATGTTTATGTAAAGATATTTGTAATTTTCTTTATCATGTGTTATAATATCAATCAAAAGATATCAATGCTTTTCATTTTTAAATTTGAGATAATAAAAGAATGCCCTTCAGATGGCATTGTCACCTATTTTAAATTTGTAAGGTATTTGTAATAGTACAAGTGTTAGTTATAACATGTTAGGCATCATTGTGAACTTATTATTTTCTTTTAAAAATTTTGCATGACATAAGTAAAGATGATCATCTGTTAAGCTGACAAGAGTTGGACTTGTTATAGCTATTCTTGGATGATGTCAACTTGACTATATCTAGAGTTAATTAAAACGAAAAATGGCTGGGTATATTTCTGAAAAAAAAAAAAAAAGAAAAGAAAAATCATTCCCTAAAGTACCATCTCTATTGTCAACACAAAAACAGAAGCCAGGGTAACATCAATTTCCAGCTTCTTTAAACTTTTCAACAAAAAAATAATTTACTTCACAGCTAAATGATTTTGTTTGTTTGTTTGTTTGTCTGGATAACCCACAGATTAAAAAAGAAATCAAGAGACCGGATTAAAGGATTTTTTTTTTCAAGGCTAAGCTTCTTAACTGCACATACAAAGCTATTCACTCCATCAACTTAAAAACAAGAGTGGGGTGAGGAAGTAGTTTCAATCTGCGCCTGCAGGCCACCCACACACACCCCCTCCCCCACCTCCACCCTCCACCTGGAAGTCACCTTTGCCTCTACTGCGGCTCCCATCTGAATCAGACACTTAATGGTGTCAACCAGGCTCTTATTCTTCAGTAAAAGATCCTGCACTTCAGGTGAATGGGGTTGTTGATTCCTCTGTAGTTCGTGCACCACAGCGTTATGAGCCAGGACCGCACAGTGGAGGGGAGTCAGGCCTGGGAAAAGGGTCACGAGAAGTCAAGCCCTCCATCGAGTCTTCTGGTCACTACAATTAATTATCCTAAGGATGGATGGTTCCTCATTTCACTTAAAAAACGGTCTCTATGAAACCTAGTGCAGTGGCCCGAATACTGCCAGGCAATTTAAACGCCAATTTTACCTAGAAAACATTTAGCTTTATTTCCCTCCTCTCTTTCTTAGTATGACGCTGAATACTCTTAGAATTTCTGTGCCCCATCTCTCATGCAGTTCTTTATCCAAGAAAGTCGCAGTTGCTTACCATCGTAGTTAGTTGCCTCAAGATCCACAAACTGATTGCTCCTCACTGCTCCCTTCTGGATTGCCTGCAAATTTTTAAGATACACACCTGTTATCCAAAGGCAAGGTACACAGTCACCTGCTATTACTGTGCTAAGAAATCAATAAATCAACTCAAAACAGATTGATTCTAAGCAGCAGCCTACACGCAACTTCTTACATCCAAGCCTTTGGCAATGCAATGATGATGGAAGCCAGCTTTCTGGCCTCTTACCTGGAGCACCTGGGAGTGGCCCTTCTCTGCACAGACATGCAGAGGGGTTCTTCCCCAGCAGTCTGTGGTGTTCACCTGGGCACCAAGGTTCACCAGATCTTGCACAATGAGGTGCTGATTGGCAGCTACGGCCACCTGAAAGGCACTCTGTGGACATTTAGAGAAGAAAGATGCTTTTGAAACCCATAACACTATCATAACAAGGACTATGAAACTAACTAACCGATGGCTGAGGGGAATGTCCACACCAAGAAAAGAAGTCCTATTAATAAACAACCAACTACAGCAAGACAAGGAAACTAATAAGCTAAGGGTGCGGCTTAATTATACCAAATCTTTGGCCAAACAACTTCAAAGAGAACATTAATGACTTCAAGGCTGGCAGTGGCAAAAAGTCAGCTCAGTATCTCAAAGTTAATATTAACCTGGAAGTCTCTGGATTTGGGGCTCTTCAACAGTCTGCACCTGAGACTGGCTAGCCCCCACTCTGGCACAAAGTCACGTCACCTTGGCCATGTCAACACCCTCCTCACCTGTCCATTGTGCTCTTTAACGTCCAGCATGTGAAATGCGTTCATCTTTCTTGCGAGAACATAGGACAGTGCCCGTCTCCCTTGGGCGACAGCGATGTGGAGAAACCTGGCGGAGAGGCAAGGAAAAGAGAGGAATTGCTTCTGACTTCATTAAGTCAATCTAAGAAAACAAACACTTCCTTCCCCCTATTTCTGCTATATTGATACACTCCAATGAAATGTTACAGAGAAGAATTTGGCTTTTCTGAAACGCAGGCCGCCTGGGCTGCAACAGAGAAAAGTTAAGAAGAGGCAATGCTGAACGCATGCTGAATACTTAAAATCTATTATTTTTTAACACTCACATGAGCATAAATACTCATATATAATTCTATGACAGAAACATTAGTATTGTATATGTAAAGAAACTAGAGGTATGGAGATTTTGCGTTACTTGTCCAAAATTCTAAAGACAAACCTACGGATCAACTCCTAACTGACGGATTAGTCATGATCTCATTGTTTCCACTGATCTACATTAGTCTTCAACACAGGTTATTATTCATAGGAAGTGCATATATTTTTAAATGATGAAAAAATATAAAAGGAACATCCTTTCTAGGAACATGAATTATCACTGTGCCAACCAATAAGGTTCAACTATGAAAATACACGAGATGAAAGATACTCACGTGTCACCATCTGAGTCCTTATAGAGAAACTGGTCTTGGGAAATATTTGCCAATTTGCTTTCTTCCTGCTCTACCTGCCACTGAAAAAATGACTTCCCTAGCTGTGTGGTGTTCATTGGGCTTCCCATGATGTTCTGGAGTGACAGGGAAGTACCCAAAGAGGGTGAGCCGGCATCATGCACCCTGCCTGCCTCACAGGCATTGTTTGGCATCAGGCTAAAGCTCTGCAGGTGAGTCTCATTTTGTTGTGGGATGCTGGAGGAAGGCTGAAGGGGAACAGCAATATTCTCAGATTCCCCGTGGCCACTCAGGAGAGACACAAAACTCTGGCTTGTGCAGAACTGTGGATCTTGACTATCAAAGAGGTTTGATTCATACTTGGGAGACTGGGATGTTCTGGAACAAGAACTGAACTGCAGAGCTGGATTGTGTGGATAGTTCTGCTGCTGCTGCTGTTGCTGCTGCTGTTGCTGTTGCTGTTGCTGTTGCTGCTGCGGCTGCGGCTGCTGCTGCATGCTCTGGGTTTGTGGCAAATACTGATACATAGAAGCCTGGTCCATCATTTGTGGAGAGCCACTGACTTGGAATGGTTGGTACTTCTGAGGTGGAGAGAAGACCTGCCCTCCATGGAAATCCTGGCACTGGTCTCTAGGGGAGTTCTGGGGTACCGCAGGGCTCATCCAGCTAACCTGGACAGTGTTTAGTGAAACTGAGCTGCACTCATTCTTGATGTTTATAATGTTCTGAAGCAGATCAGCACTGCTATCCAGTTTGGATTCATTTGGACGAACATCTTCCATGCTCTCCCCAGATGTAGGTGTTTGAGGTGATGTCTAGGAAGAAGGAAAAAACAACTTTCACAATCACTTCCTTTAAAAGAAGGCCAAGAGCCAGGTGTAGACTCTGTGGTAGGGTCCCATGACTAGACTTCAATCACAAGTGCCAACTTCTCTGAATAGCAGCAGTCCCCCAGGAATGGTTCCACAGAGTGTTCGGAGGCAAACAGTGAGATGCTTACCACAAAGTGTGTAGACAACAGAGCCGGCCTTTTGCAAACTGGTCCATCAGACAGAGGATCCGTTCCCTTTCTTTTCCCCACTGCAGATACTGTGCTCTTCACTTCTGTTCCCAAAGAGAGAAATATGCAACCTGTGATCATTTCACTTTACAAATTCTACCTATTTCCATAGTAAGTCATTTTTACTGTGAAGACACCAACAAAGTTATGAATAGCCAGAAGTAGCTCTTACCTGTGAGTTGCTCAATGTTCACACTCTGTGCCTACAAAGGAAAAGATTGCAGGTTAGCACATATGAAATGGTTTCTCACTTAGTACAGATTTCTCTCTCCCACCCTCTACAACACACTGTCAATCTCTGACAAAACAAATACTGACAGAACAGCTATCTTTGTGTTCATTCTCTCTCTCTCTCTCTCTCTCTCTCTCTCTCTCTCTCTCTCTCCACGTCTCCATTTTCACTTCTAGCCTAGTCAACCCTGGTCAAGATGAAATAATTAAGACGATCTGATTCTTTCCCCTCTAATCAAAATGTTCCACTTTTACTGAACCCTGTGAATTGCCTTGCCCCTAAACCACTGTCATTTGTTCTCTCATTAAATTTCTCTCACATACAAGGCACTGAGCCAAATGCAAGCAAATAACAAAACAAATATATCCTATCCTATGAACTCGGGTAAAAGTTTATGACAAAATGCATGTGACTTACTAGACCTACATTAGCAAAAAAATAATAATAATAATAATATAACCTTGACAGACTAGTCTCCCGCTCCCTCACTCAAAATAAAGAGCAGCTGGCACCTTAAACTCATCCACAGATAGGCTGGAAGTCTTCTGTTTGTGACTTCGGATATGCAGCAGGAGCTCCTTCACTGAGTTCTTCACTCGAACGCCTTGGAAAGGTCCTCTTTGCTGCCGGCCAACCCCCATATGGGGCTCAACTGTTCAAAAGAAAAGGAAACATCTCCATTACATCTCTTCACAGCCATGAATCATGACAGTACCCCCCTCCCACTGCAGCCTGATGGAGAAAGTCCTCAAACAGCAGACTGCAACTCCTTTCCACCATCTCAGTCAATGGGCTCTCATCAGTGTCCAGTTCTTCTCTAGGGGTCAGTGTGACTGATAGGGGTTCCTACCAGGCACCCTAAGGAATTAAAGTGCCATCAAACGTGGTCCAGGATCCTTGGAGCCAAAAGACAGATATACCCAAGTAAAGCCTCTCTGTCTCTAGGAACTATTTACTCATGAAAGAGGATCAGAGGTTTGGCCAAGATTGTAGACTTATAATTATTCTTGACTTTGAGAGATCCTTGGAGGAGCAGAGTATAAACGAGGCGTTTGTACTTTTTAAAACAAAGTCTTTTATGTTTATGTACAAAGTATAAAATACCTTCACTTCATTCACCTAAGAAGGAACAAAACTTCCTCTAAAGACCTCAAGGTACCACAACCTAACAATTAACACTGCCTTACACTTCTCAGTATTTCCTTAGTTCATTTGTGCCAAGAAAGCTGCTTGAGTTCACTGAGCACATTTCCACATACACACACAGGATTTCCCCCTCACTTATTGCTCTTAGAATTACGTGCATGGGCATTCTAAGTAAAAAGGAAACAGGCGCATTCACCTTAAAACTCCAGACTGCAGTTTAAAATTTACTATGAGCACAGGTTCCATTCCCAGCCACAACTTAACAAGCTCTTGCATAGTAATTGAGCATAATATTTATAATGCCAGAAAATGAATAGCTAGCTGGTCCACTATTTAAAACAGGAAAAATAAAATGGAGACCAAAGCATAATTTGACCATCTATATCACAAGCATATGAGACAAACATCTCAGTTACAGGCAAGTGAAATGATCAGATAGTCTTCCGTTTTAACTTCAGGGTTTTCAACAAACGCCCCAATAGTCAGAATCTAACAGCATTCCTTCGGAGTGACAGAGTTAAAAATCCCATGCTCACGTCACAGGGAGAAAAATGCAGTTTCAGGAATCCCCAATGATAAACCAAGAACTAGAAAAAAAAAAAAATCGGTTCAGTCAATGTCGGCAAAGGGCCCAAGGACCTCAGAAAGGGCTGGGAATGCATATACACCCAACTTTTTAGATAGGCTATACGTGACACTGTGGCTTAAGGCACATCGTTTTAAGTTAAATGTATGTTTTTTGAAAAATAAAAGACAACCAAAGCTTGAGTGGCCATCAGCAAGGAACAGCAAGGAGTCGTTCTTTAAAATAATTTCGATTAGAAGCTCCAACAGCCGAGGTAATCTAGGCGGTCTTTAAATCTACCCACAGCGGCATCCTGTTTTCCCCCAAATTATGCAACTGGGTTTATGAAGAAAGGAAACCATGCAACTCGCAGCGAAAGAAAGGAAGGAAGGAAGGAAGGAAGGAAGGAAGGAAGGAAGGAAGGAAGGAAGGAAGGAAGGAAGGAAGGAAGGAAGGAAGGAAGGAAGGAAGGGAAAAGGAAAGAGAAAGAGAAAGAGAAAAAGAAAAAGAAAAAGAAAAAGAAAAAGAAAAAGAAAAAGAAAAAAACAAACGGGCTTCGCTAGCTTAACTTTTCCATTCTAAAGCACACAGAAAAACAAGACCGCAGAATTCTGAGCAGACTTCTGAAACTCCATCATCATAAACTACGCGCTGAACCTGAATCACTTTTCCGACCCCAACTTTTCCCTTACATCTTGATAAATGTTTTTCCTATAAATATATTAGGAATGAGACGTGGCTCTAAACCCAGCACCCAAGGTTTTATCCTCTAGCACTGCTTCTCGCTAAAAGAATTCCAAGAAGAAAACTACAACTCTGTGTCAGAGGTGGTCGAGTTCTGGGGCGGGGGAGAAGTGAAAAGGTAAAGGGTTAGGAGATGAGAGACTCCCAGGTTTTTATCCCCAGGTGCCAGCGCTCTATCCAGCAGGGTGCTCGGAGCTGGAGCCCCAAGTCGCCGGACTCCGCAGACAGCCGAGTACTTCGTGCCCGAATCAGGACAAGGCATCTTAGCAGTCACTCATGACTA